GATTGCTTTGGCAAACTGTAAATGTCTAAATATCGCCATTGCATTAAAGATAAGCTGACTGGATTTGGCATCAATTTGTCATGTACTGTGAGGGTAAATGTATGCAGTAGGTGGAATTAATGTCTGCAGCAACATATTAATTATACCTGATAGCCAGTAGCAATAAATCAGTCAAACATCAAATTAAATTGTAATGTAAGATTTTTCTTTTTTGTGCCCACTAGACATGCTTTTAGATCTTTCCAGCGTGCACAGCAAAAATGTCTTTAATATAATAATAAAAGGTCTATATTTAGTGATTTTTGTGGTGTTTCACTTGACAAGGTACACTTATATTTAAGATAAATGATCTAAAGTCCACTCTTTAGTCTATCTAATATCACTACTGTAATGTGATATTCTCACAGGAAGTTTGCTGTAAAAGCTGAATATGTATTTTAGTAACCAATTTACAATCATAATGTGGACTCTGAAGGGTCTGTAGAGTTTGGTGTTTGATTCGGACAGGTTTTCTGTGAGGATGGAGGGGTCAGACAGCACATTGCACACAGTTGTACTCACAGGAAGAGAGGTCGGTCACAGGGCTGGTGGAGCATTTAGATGTCCTTGAGATGGTCTTAATAATAATTCCTCTTCCTACACACAGGATGTGCTCTGCTTTGTCATGACCCATTTAATTATATTTGTTATTTGGGTCACGGCCACTTCTTTTTAAAAAAGCTGTGCGTAATATAAAAACTGTAGATGCTTTCATGTAATAGCAAACGGCCTTCTGACATCAATTCTAATTTAGTTCAGTATCTGGGTTAAGGTGCATTGACTTCTAGGCAGGGGCATTAAAACACATTTCCCGTGCATTATTTTTGTGTAAATGACACAAAGACTTCCTCTCAAAATGCTGTGTGAGTCACATTGCATTTTCTCGATTAGTCGGTAAATTGGATCAAAGTTTGGGTTTTGTGTTGCAGCTTTTTTCTTTGTGAATTTGGTAGGGTATTATAGGACTGCTTGCAGAAGAAGAGGAAAAGGATATTTGTTGCTCAAATATTATAAAATGGAAAATGTTCAGGATAACAATGTTATGTTTCATTGAAGTGCCAGTTTTGCCTGTATGGAAGCTTGTTTCCACCACTAAATAAATTTAAAAAAGGTAATTGCGACTGCTTATTCTGAATTTTTTCCACCCAATTGCGAATTTACATCTCACAATTCTGACTTTATAATACATAATTGTGGGTTATAAAGTCAGAATTAAGATATAAACTCGCAATTGAAAGAAAATAGTATTTTTCCCCCTCAGAATTGTACCTCGGAACTCGGAATTGTGAGTTTACATCATGAGATTCTTAGAAAAAAAACTTTTTTTTTTGACAGTGACAGAAACAGGCTTCCCTATGTAATTTTTATATAATGTCATTATTAATTAGTAATATTAATATTGATAACATTTATTAATGTTAATATTATTAGTTAATTATCTCTAATGTTAGTATGTCCTAGTAGTATAATATATTTTATCCTATATTCATATTAATTATTAGCATTGATTTTAATAATGTTTACTCCTATTAGGTATTAATTTTGATATTATTATTATTATTATTATTTGAAGAAAAATAAGAAATAATAGTAATGTTAGTTACTGTTAATATTAATTATGTATAACATTATAGTTAGTGCATATTAAGTAGTATTAATATTAATAAAAAATGATTAATATTATCAATTGATCAATATTAAATGCTCTTTATACTGAAATAATTCCTATTAGTGTAATATGTAATATCCTATTAATGTTATTACTTAATAATATTATCAGTTAATAATAATGTATTAATACTTTTCAATTGACAATGATATTAATAAGTGATATTAATATTATTTAATATTGACGTTAATTGTTATTAATACAGTTGTTAATTGCTATTTCTATAATATATAACCTATTAATATTAAAGGAACACTCCACTATTTTTGAAAATAGGCTCATTTCGGTTGAGTTTTACCGTTTTCGAATCTATTCAGCCAATCCCCGGGTCTGGCGGTAGCACTTTTAGCTGTAGCTTAGCATAGATCATTGAATCTGTTTAGACCGTTAGCATCTCGCTCAAAAATGACCAAATAGTTTCTATATTTTTCCTATTTAAAACTTGACTCTTCTGTAGTTACATCGTGTACAAAGACCGACGGAAAATTAAAAGTTGTGATTTTCTAGGCCGATATGGCTAGGAACTATACTCTCATTCCGGCGTAATAGTCAAGGAACTGCCGTTCCATGGGTGCAGCAGGCGCAATGATATTACGCAGCGCCTAAAAATAGTCCCCAGCTAGGTAACTTCCAACGTGACCGGCACTAAGTTTGTGTAGTTGCATATATACTGTATATTTCATATATTTCCATATCGGCCTAGAAAATTGCAACTTGTCATTTTCCATCGGTCTTGGTACACGATGTAACTACAGAAGAGTCAAGTTTTAAATAGTAAAAATATAGAAACTCTTTGGTCATTTTTGAGTGAGATGCTAACGGTCTAATCAGATTCATTGATCTATGCTAAGCTACAGCTAAAAGTGTTACCGCCAGACCCGGAGATTGGCTGAATGGATTAAAATATTTTCAAAAATAGTGGCGTGTTCCTTTAAGTATAATGTTTTGATATTAATAATGATTAATAATAATAATAATAATTGCAGTTAATATTAATGATAATTACTAATACTAATATTAAAATAGTTGCAAGTGCCCAAATATGTTTTTATTTGCATTGCCCATAGGCCTGTTTTTATCTGTCAAGTCAAAGCTGTTTATCTTTCTCCACGTATTCCTGACGCGGATTCTTTTTTTTACTTTCCAGTGCCACTGACCTTTTTTGCCAGCTTTTACTCATGTACTTTAGTTAAAACAGTCTATCATATTGTGTCTGTGAGAGCATGTGAGTGTGTATTTGCCCTCAGGAGGTCTTCATGTGAAGTCTGGGCCTGGAGTGTTGATAGGACCACCAGAGCGGCATCTCAGACAATCTGATATTCTCGCTGGGACCAAAGTTTGACCTCACTTACAAACATGCCTTTTATTGTGTGCTAAAACTGATTTGTCGTCCGCCTTAGGCCATGTACGACACATTATCATCAGTAAGAGGACGCGCTAAAAGGACTACTTGAAGCTTTGCCCCATTGGCCCTCCTATTTTTCATCGTTAGCTCTTGCTTAATGCTTTTTGCCCAACTTTGTGTTCCTACAAAGTCATTTTTGTTTCTTTTACTTCCTGGCCCATTTCCACAGGAGCTTACCAACAGGCTAATGCTGTTGCTTAATGTGGTTTCCAGAACGATGTCGGTCACGTTTAGCCATCGCACTTTATTCTAGGCTATTTTGCCATGTTTTATTGATGCAATAGTGGCGAGAAGAAGGAAATGATGTGGAGAAAAGGTCAAAGACCATGGCACTGACACCCTTGGTCTCTTTGATAGGATGTTTTGAAGCCAAAGCAAGCAAAGAGAGAAGTGAAATGTGTGGGTAGTTGTGAGTGTGTGTGTGTGTGTGCGTAAGTATGCTCAATAATGAGTTATTAGTCTTAAATGATGTCGTTCCCCAACCCCCCTCCTCCTAAATGAATCTCTGACAAAAGCTTATTATGTTTCCTTTTGAACTGGCACGTTCTCATGATCTCACTCTTTCACGTTCAAATCAAATGACCCCCAACGTGTTTTCCTGCCTCTCCATTAGACATGCATTCATTCTGTCCTAACCCTGCTTTATATATTCATCCATCATTATTCCTTCCTCATCCACTCGGTACATCTGGCTTTATTTGAACTGGGATCCATCTCTAAAATCTCTTTTTTTTTTTTTTCTTTGAATGCCCATTTGAAGTTTTTATTCATCAACAAATCCTGAAAAAATTAACCTGTTTCCACAAAAATATTAAGCAACTGTTTTCAACATCAATAATAGTAAGAAATGTTTCTTGAGCAGCAAATCTGTATATTAGAACAGTGTTTCCCAACCTTTTTTTAGTCGTGGCACCCTTTGCATAACATAGCGGTTAGCAGATCAATGAATGAGAGGGCAGCGATAACAGAGATGCCCATTTACCACACCTTGTTACAACACAGTAGGGCCATACGATATACGAGTGGAGCTGAGCGGAGCGCACATGCATAGAGCGGGATAATACGCAGAGCGTCATACTGCGTGAAAGTGAAACCTGAGCGGTTAACTAATTTTCGGCAGCTGAAATTTCGGTGCATCTCTAATTATTGGCGACACCAGAAATGGATATTATATAATAGATGCTTTTTTGAACATTTTAGCAATTTAAAAATATTAAAAAATGATTTTTTACACGGCACCCCTGATCTCTCGACAGACGGCACCCCAGGGTGCCGCGGCACCCCGGTTGGGAAACACTGTATTAGAATGATTTCTGTGACACTGAAGACTGGATTAATGATGCTGAAAATTCAGCTTTGAATCAAAAGAATACATTACATTTTAAATATATTAATATAGAAAGCAGTTAATCGAAATTGTAATATTTTTTTTAATTATTTTAGTATTATTTAGTATTATAGTATTCTTTTTTACTGTATTTTTGATCACATAAATGCAGCTTTTCTGAGCCTAAGTGACTTCTTTCAAAAACATTAAAAAATCTGACTGAGCCCTAAACTCTTAAAGGTAGGCTAATATTCATTAATCTCAAGATTTAGATGAAAATCACTTCATCCATTATCTTATTGGAGTGTTCCAGGTTCAATATGTGTTAAACTCTATCGAGCATCTGTGACATACTGTCGATTACCACTGACAATAATTTCCACTCTTCTCGTAGTTTGCAAACGTAAGCAAAAATGACATGTGCAGTAATGCAGTTGTAGGCAATGGGGTACGATGTTGAACTGGGATAAATGCTAAGATTCACATGATTTTGAAAGTCAACTGAGATACAGCCCTAAGTGTGTGTGTGTGTGTGTGTGTGTGTGTGTGTGTGTTTGCAGAAAGGAGAGCCATCAGGTCTGCTGCTTTCGGAGGACGGGCGAGAGCAGCTGATGTTTGAAGTTCCTTTGAGTGACTCCGGCTCAGCTGGTCTAGGGGTCAGTCTGAAGGGTAATAAGTCCCGAGAGACCGGGGAAGACCTGGGCATCTTCATCAAGTCCATCATCCACGGCGGTGCCGCACACAAGGTAAAGAGCAGCTCATTCACCCCACGTCCATTCATCTGAGAGCTCCAATCATGAAAGTCGCTCCAATCCTGTGTATTTCTTTACACAATGGCATACAGTTGTAATTTATGCCTGAAAACTACTAAAAACCTTTAAAATAAAAACATACATGCACTATTATAAATATAATATACTGTTATATGTAAATATACTGTTCATAATGCATTATTTTACCTTTAAAAATAAATAACTAAATACATATACCATTATAAATATATAAATATACTATTGTTCATAACACAATGATGTTTATGCAGTTCGTTAAAAAATACATAAAGAATCGTATATGTAAAAATTAACATTAGGATAATAAATGTTGTAAAATTAGTGCTATTTTAGTATTATATACTATTATAGTATTTATTAATATTTAAAGCTTTTATTTGTCTATTTTCAATTGTTAATTTAATTTTAATGTAAGTTTCAGTAATTTTGTAAAGTGCTTTTGGTTTCAAATATTTTTAGCTTTCATTTAATTGTCACTCAGTTTCTTTTTATTTCAGTATAATTTAACTAACTAAACTAAAATAAAACTAGTTTTACAACTTTATTATAATATTATAATAAATTATTTTTATTTTATTTTATTTTATTTTATTTTATTTTATTTTATTTTATTTTATTTTATTTTATTTTATTTTACAAAAACAACAAGTTTTATTAGTTTTAGTTAATGATAACACCACTGGGAAAAATGTTCATGTTATGTTAGCTATTGCATTAACTAATTTAAGCTTATTGGTTAACATAAAATGAATAAGAAATTTACGATACAAAAATGTACATTGATAAGGCATAATTGACGGTTGAAGTTAAAATCCAAATATTGTCAGATTAATCTGTCTGTAACTACTACTATGATTTGGAGAACCAATAATACAAACATACGAATATACTGTAGTATGGTAATTTTGATTTACCCAAAGTGGCCCCAAACTGAAAAAAAAGATGATTTATGAAAAGTGGCCTTTTTTATAGCCTGTTAAGCTTTATCATTTTGGTTTGTGATATGCCGTGTCTGTTATTACAGGTTAACCTCACCTAGTGCCGCTATAGAAATATGAATACTCCTCTCCTCTTCTCTCTGCAATCAATCCAGTCAGGCAGCAGGTGTTGTGTCTGTGTGCAGATAAGAGCACATCTACTGTCTCCTATCAGCACTGTAATCAAGAGTGGGCTCACAGGTGGAGCTGCGTCTCTGGCCCCTATCAGCACTCCAGTGGAGAGTGGGCTCAGAGAGCGAGCTGCGTCACAGACCCCATCAGAGAGACGCTCAAAGAAATAGACATTTTCAAAGGCTGAGCTCTTCATTTGACTTCTGCCGTTCACCCTTATCACACTCACTCTCCCTCTCACACTTTCTGCTGCTCCTCTAACATTTACACTCCAAGATTGAGATCAAATGAGCATGAATATATAAAAAAAGCTGCATCCTAATTTCTGGAATAAATTATTGTAATACAAAGTAATGAAGAAAAACATGTCGTAGGTTATCTTTAGAGCTCTTTATGAGGTAGCGTCTTTCACAAGGCCGTCTTAGGTTGCGAGCTTCCAGACTGTCTGCTTATGTATGCATGAGTATAGTTTCTCAATAGATCACAAGTGTTTGTGTCCGTCCTGCCGGAGACCCCCTCCCGGGTCAGTATCAGTGGTCTGCGGTCAGTGACCTCGCCCAGGGGTCAGGATCATCCGCCGTGACACAGACTCTCAGGAGTCTTTAGCGGCTCCAGTGGCTTTTAGCTGCTAATCTCTTTTGTTCCTCTTCAGGTCAGTTTTATTTAGGAAACCACAGCTGTGAACCTTAATCCAATTCATTCCGGCCCGGCCCTTTCACGCTAATGATATGCATCCGTAATTGTGTCTGAATTCATAGTGGGATGCATTAAACATTTAACAGTGGGGCTACACTGCATAAATGTTTTTAAATCGTACTATAGGGCTTTAGTGTTGGGAGTAGCTAGCTAAAAGTAGCGGTGGTCCAAACTTAACTACATGTTTCAGTGTGACAGTAATTCAGCAATTCAGATTTACCCCCCAAAATAGTGGTGGTTTATTGAAAATAAGTTCAAAAGAACAATTAATTCACAAAACAGACTAAAAGCTTTAACTTTAATGCTGTAATCATAATTGTGATCCTATTTATTATTCTTATTTTATTTGTTTTAATTAATTTGTTTATTTTGTATTTATTTTTAAGTTTAGTTTTTTTTTATATTTAATATTTTAAATGCTGCTTTGAATATATATAATTCTATACCTTTTAATATTATAGTATAATTTTATAAAATAATACAAGTTTAAGAGCTTTTTATCTGATTAATCTGCCTTTAACTATAACTGTGATATGATTTGCGTTTTTTGTTGTATTCCATTTTTATTTAATTTTAAATACACCGTTGTATTTATTAGTAAATAATATATCTTATTATAGAAAACATGTAAATATTAGAATATTTTTTATGTAGTTTTGTTTTCTTGGTATTTATTTATTTATTTGTTTATTTATTTACTTTTATATTTAATTTTAAATGCAAACTGAATTAATAGGTAAAAGACACATCGTCCATTATTATAGTAAAAATTTAAGATCTTTTAATCTGATTAATGTATCTATAACTTGTACTACGGTTTGTAGTTTAGTTTGTTTAAATACTGCACTGAATCTTTAGGTAAATTATATATCTACATTCATTCTCTCGTTCTCTCTCTCACTGTCTCTTAGTATTATAGTAAATATTTTAGAGATTTTATTCCATTAATCTGTCTATAACTAGTTCTATTTGGGATGCAATAATACAAATCATAAGACTAATAAAAATGTAAGAGCTTTTAGTCAGATTAATCTGGCTTTAGCTAGAACTGTGAAATGATTTGTATTTTTTTTTTTACTTAGTAAAGTGTGTTTGTGTTCTTTTGTTTTTATATTACTTTTTTAGTTTCTAAATTTTTAAACGCCATTGTATTTATTAGTAAATTTTATACCTTGTTATAGCAAAAATGTAAATATTTTAATGTTAATGTGTTTAACTACCAGTGTGATTTGTAATTCTATTTATTTGTTTATTTTTTTATTATTATATATTTTTTAACTGAATTAATAGGTAAAAGATACATCGTACATTATTATAGTAAAAATGTAAGATCTTTTAATCTGATTAATGTGTCTGTAACTAGTACTATGGTTTGTAGTTTAGTTTTTATACTTATTTTTAAACGCTGCACTGAATCTTTAGTTAAATTCTATATCTACAATCATTCTCTCGTTCTCTCTCACTGTCTATTAGTATTACAGTAAAAATTGTAGAGCTTTTATTCTATTAATCTGTCTATAGCTAGTACTATTTGGCATGCAATAATGCAAATTATAAGACTAATAAAAATGTAAGATCTTTTAAATGAATTTAGCTTCTCTATAAGGTGAGGTTTGCTTCCTATAATTTCTCAACATTGGTGTCTGTCTTCTCTTGTTTGCAGGACGGTCGCTTGCGTATCAATGACCAGCTGATAGCGGTTAATAGCGAATCGCTGCTCGGATGCTCCAACCATGAGGCCATGGAAACCCTGCGGCACTCCATGTCGACTGAAGGGAACCTCAGAGGAACCATCCAGCTGGTGGTTCTGCGTGCTGTGGAGCGCTCGCCTGCTCAGGTATGCCCAGTTCCTGTACCGTACCATGTGTCCCGCTACAGACCGCTTCCCCGCAGGGCCTCTGAACCCGAGACCCTGGCCGCAGCCCACTGGTATCACCGCTATCCACATCACAGGCTCTCAGGTGACCTCTGATTGTTAGTTATTGTGCACGAGGACATGCAAACATATGCTTTGGCTAAAAGGAGGAAATGTTTTTAATGTCCTCCTGTTCTGAGATTTAAATCTAGCTTTAACGTACTATTGCTATCCTATGAGGAGAAGAGAAAAATAGGCTTGTGATTTAAAAAAAATCTGTCAATAGATTACATTTTTGTCCCCAAACAGCTCATTTTCCCAAACAAAACTCTTGAAAATATTTTCAGTTATAAATTGGGGTCAGTTAGATAAGTTGCCATGTGAGGCATTGCAGTATCATCATGGACATTTGGGGAGGAGGTCCTTGAAATTTAATAATTGCAGATTCATTTTTTGACAGACTGAAGATCGTTCTTTTCCTTGTTTTTCTTTGACTTCATGAGAAAGTGCTTGTTCTTCTCTCCTGCGTCCTGCTATTGTACTAACATCATGCACATGCTTGTATTTTCACTTATTTATTAATGTCTGCTTTTCTTTTGCTTTGTTTCTGTATTGCTAAAGTTTTCTTTTGAAATAAAAGACTCTTAAATCTTTGCATGCACTTTGTTTTTTTTTAACCCTCTGGGCTTTTCTTCATGGATCTTTTCTGTTTATTCTGTAAAGGGCATGAGGTGTCATTCATCTCTTTCTTTCAGCTTTTGAGTTTTCAAACTTTGAGATGTGCTGTATTGAATTTGTATATGCAATATGTACAATGCGTTTAAAAGTTTGGGGTCGGTAAGATTTTTTTAAATTATGATTTTTTTTTAAAATAAATTTATTCTTTTATTCAACAAGAATGCATGAAATTGATCAAAAGTGAGCACAATTTGTTTTAAAATATATTCAAATAGAAAGCAGTTATTTTAAAATGTAATAATATTTTATAGTATTACCGTTTCTGCTGTATTTTTGATCAAATAAATACAGCAATGTTGAGCATTAGAGACTTCTTTCAGAAACATTTAAAAAAAAAATCTTACTGATCCCAAACTTTTGGATATTATGTGACCCAACGTGACCATTAAAGTCTGGGAAGCATAACATTGCATTGTATCAGTGCATTTTGATTGAGTCTACATTCTCATAAAGCAAGTTAATGCACTAAAATAATATGCAATGTAAACCTATGCATTTCCACTAAATACTTGTTTGAACCTTTCAGTGCATACAAGTTTACTCGTGAGCACTTTTCAATTTTATGACTTAGAAAATGTGGCTTGATAAAGTGTTTGTTCAGTTTGTGCTTGCATTATTGGGAAGCTTGGCATTCTTTTACTACTGTCAGTTTCATATCTCTGTGTTTCAGGGGGTCCGCCATGTTCACTGGGGTCCCCCTTTTGTTAATGTGGTGGTAAGTTTAAGCAGTCACCGGTTGGTGTATTAAACCCGCATGACGATATCCTTGCTAATAGAGGTGGTTTCACATGATAAAGACAGAGAGTCAGCTAAAACGATATTTTTAATTGATAATGGAGAAGTTTCTAAACTCCATTAGTCTGAACAGTGCTGATCATTTCATCTTTTGCATATTTTTCAAAATGGACTTGTTCTTTTCTATTATGGGAAGTAGTGTTAAGGCAAATTTATTGGAGAAGAGAATCCATTTGCATGAGCCAGCAGCTCAATAAAATGTCAGTTTTCAGCCAAGAGATAATAGCTGAATCTTTTTTTCTGCTTTGGATCCTCAGAAGTCATATGCTAAGGTTTCTGAATGTTCAGAAATAGTCAAATGCAGCTTGATTGGAGTTTAGAGTCTTTGTATCCAAGGTTAAACCGGGACGGTTCATCAAGTCCGACAGCTCCTCATCACCGTCCATTGAATATGAAGACAAATAGTTATTGACTCCACCTTCAGCATTCTGACTTTGGGTGGGTGAGCGCTGGAGTATTATTGAGGAGCATTAGCTTATCCTCAGCCCAATCCAGTGGTAGAGGGATGGTGATCGGTGCAAGCGGTAATGGCGCTCAATAGAAGGTGATATGTCGCTGAGATGCATTCTTCATTAATCACATGCAGACGGAGCGATCAATATGCCATTAATCACCCAGACAGAGTTGAGTGATAAGAGAATGAGTGGGAGGTTAGAGAATCAAAAGTGTTTGTGGATTCAACGTAATGGGTTTGTTACTCAATTCAAGACATAATACTAAATTTCTAATTTTTTTATTTATTTTATTTTTAAACAAACTACCACTGTATCATCATTGGATACTAGTGCGATCATACACCTTGTTTGGACGTCTTGGCAGCACCATAATATTTTATGAAAGTACGATAACATACATGGTACCAGCAAAGCACTTCTTTGTTATTGTTTTTAAACATAGTAATACTGTAATATTTTTGGAAGCACTTCTAAAGTTTGGGGTTGATAAGATTGTTTAATATATTTGAAAGAAGTCTCATACTCACGAAGGCTGCATTTATAAAAAAATAAAAATAATAATAATAATAACAACAATAATATTGTAAAATATTTTACCAACTTTTCTTTTATTAATGAATTTATTATTATTATTTTTATTATTATTATAAATGTCATTTATTCAAATGTTTTATAATTATATGTCATTACTGTCATTTTTAGTCAATTTAATACATGTATGCATTTAAAAGACTTTATTCCTGCTTTCACAAATTAAGACCTTGAAAGGTCTGTAAGATTGTAAGTCATGGCATTGAATGTTGCATGCACTCAAAAAAAAAAAAAAAAATCTTCCTCAGTATTTTTTGTTTTATTTTCCAATAAAAATATCTAAATATCCTTAAATCAAGATACATTTACTTTAGATGCCATATTAAGCTAATAAGTCTTGTTTTCTTAAAAATGTTACCAAATTAAACAAATTTATGCTTAAAATAAGAACAATTATCTATCAATGGGGTATGAAAACTTGTTTTCCCTTTGAATTAAGTTGATTTTTCTGAGCCCATTGGCAAATTTTTGTTCTTGTTTTAATCATAAGCACACTACATGTTGTTCAGTTTCTCATAAAACAAAACTTCTTATTACAAAGTAATGGAGATCTGTTGGAAGTTGTATTTTCACACTTTGAAGTATTGCTAAGACCAGACATTTACATTAAGAGAACATGTCGATGCATTGTTCCCTTCAATTTGTAACTTAAATTTGCTTAAAGAATGTCTTAAAACGTTTTACATTTACAGAAACCATTGAATAAAAGTAAAAAAAAAAACTTTCTGAACCCAAACTCTTAAACTGCAGTGTACCTTTCATGTGAAACCACCATCTTTGTTCCTCCTTCCTCTATGTTCTTCTCCTTCCTGTTCTCCACCCAGTCTGCTGTCTAATCCCATTACCTCGCTGGATCTCCTCTTGCTCGGCAAGTTAATCAGATTACACTGTGGGTTCCTTGAATAAAAGGCAAATTTTGTGTTTTAATGAAAGGCAGCCCGGGGCTACCCTGAGGGTCCCTAACCTCAGCTCACCCTCACTGCTGGCCTGTGTGGAGGGGGTGGAGACGGCCGTGGCTTTAGGGTCTTGTTCTAGAGGCTGTTTTCTTGGTTCTTTGTCTTGGACTGTAGACCCAAGCTCCCTTGTGATTGTTGTCTGATTAAGACGTTCAGCGCACTGCCTTTGAAGATGTCAGAGAGGTTCTGTGTGTGTGTGTGTGTGTGTGTTATTGTAGGAGTTGTACACCTAAAATCAAGGTGATATTTCAACGAATGTGAATATGATTGTTACGAACATATTGACTGATGCAAGGAGAAATTAGACTTTGACATTGTCTTCAGATGCTAGTGTGCTGTGAGTGTTGCTATGCGGTTGCTAGGGGGTTCTGGGTGGCCCCTAATGCTTTGTTATGCAGTGTCGTAGTAAATGCAGTGAACTCCATTTCTGCATGTGCTGGGAGTTTAACATGCATTTGGAAATTTTTTTGTAGACAGACGATTACAGATAAATTTGTAATGAGACACGTTTCTAAACTTGCTCTCACAGAAACTTAAAAGACCTACCAGCAGTTCATAGCCAAAATAATATCTTCACTTGCAAGAGTTAAAGCCTTCAGCTTTACAGACCAATGTATTGTAATTTTACTGCTGCAATGTGAATTAAAATGATTTTACAGTGCAGTTGTATTACAATAGTAATGTATTTGACTTAGAAATAATAATAATTAATAATAATAATATCTTCATTATTATCATTGTTGTTGACATTATTATTATTATTATTATTAAATTAATTTTAGATACTTTTTTCAATTTTATGCCCTTAATGCCCTGTGGTATCAAAAGTGGTATTACATATTTATTTATTTCAAATATTGTAAGTTAGAAATGTCAGTATCATGACAACACAGTTCTTAGCCTTTATTTTTAGATTTTCAATTAAGTATGAATTCGCTTTTAGTAATTTTTAGTAATTTTGTTGTTATATATATATATATGTGTGTGTGTGTGTGTGTGTGTGTGTGTGGTCGCCTTTATTTTTAGTGCTTTACACAATACAGATTGTCAAACAGAAAAATAGGAAAAACTTAAGCCTACTTTAATGTTACATATATTACACATTTTAAGTATTTTAATTTATAATTTGTGATATTTTAAGGTATTCTTAATGACACTGTTAACAAAAATATGCCTTTTTCAGTAACCGATGTATTTAATATGTATATATATATATGTGTGTAAATATATGTATATATATATATATATGTAAATATATGTATATGTTATATATTTTTAGGTTTTAATGTTTTAAATATTTTATTCACTTTAATCTATTTTTATTTCAGTTTTAGTTTTTTTTTAGTTACATTTTTTCATCTGCTACTGCTATTTTATTTTAGTTTAACTTTATTTCAATAACCGAATTGATCTTTCTTTCTTTAAAATAGTTGTAGTTTTTGTGTTAGTTATCAATAATGACTGGTTGTACCGCGTTGCTTTGTGGGTGTTCTGGATTGTTTCTGGGAAGTTGCTATATGGTTGTTAAGATTTTGTCATTACAGTGTTGTTGCTAGGGTGTTCTGGGGGGTTGCTAGGTGGTTGTTGTTTTTTATTATTTGTGGTTGCATTTTATTGTCCATCAGGCAAAATTTGCTTTCTTTAAAGAATCACACATCTGAGACGTCATTGATTGAGTGTTTAAGAAATACTGCTCCATGTGTTTTGCACCAAAGATTAGTGGTCAGCGGTTTGTTCAAATCAGTGTGAGCAATAGTAATAGTGATCCATGCCTTAACAAAACCAACTAATAAGGACGATGCAGCGGTTGAAGTCAGTGGGAGGTGAACACGTAAATCAATAATATCGACTGTTTAAATTGACTTTTCATTTTTAGTTTCCCGCCGTCTGGATTCTAGAAGTTGCTGTCCCGTTTTTCTTCAAGTACCTTTTGATATTTTCCTGCCATCTCTCAATTTATGCGTGTTAGTCACATGCATAAAACACGTTTACCGTCGTCAAGGCATTGATCAGAGTGAAGACAGAAAAAGTGTTGCTTAGGCTCAGCGAAGGGGGTTTTAGAGTCATTTTTCATGAGAAACATAATCTCTGAGGAGAAAGGGAGCCTGAGAATCAGTCCTACGGTCCATTGATGATTCTCGTGTATCTGGAGAGACAGCGAGCAGGAGGCAGATGACAAGAATGACGCTTCCCCATGTAAAGAGCCATCATCCCCGCTAATGACTGTGCTCCAACTGAGGCTTAACATCGGAACAAAAGAATGAGGCTTTCATCTGTTTTTCCCCACCATGCGGAATAGTATGGTGTGAATGCATTTAAGCACACTTTGATATGGTGATATCCTAATACATTTCATGTCCATCCAGTCAGTCTGGGCTTATTTTTGCTGCGAGTAGCGTTTGTGTGTGTAGCATTTGGTTTGTATGACAGTATAAAGTCTACGGTGTTCCTCCTCTGGGTTGGAGACGCACAGACGGTGACAGCTGTAGCTTCTTTGTCTTCTGAGAAGAATCCATCAAGATGCATCATTCTGTGGCCTCACGTCTTCATATTGACACATGTTTCCGTATCTGTCTTGACTAGTACTGTCTGACGGGATTGCTTCTGGCTTATAAACATTTCTAACTATGTCATATGGTTGCTTTTATCCTTTTGTCATTTACAGTTCGGGTTCAACATATTTTTTTTTCCCCCAATGTATTCTGTTCTCTCACAGAATTTATCTTTCTTTTTTTAGTATTTAGTTTTCCATCTAAAACATGCACAGTTGTAAAAAAAAAAAAAGTCCGACCTTCCTAGCAGCAAGTAATAATTCCAACAGCAGATCTATAAACAAGTATTACGCAGGACACTCACGTGCAGCCGTCTGTCTCTTCTGTTGACTAATCGCTTGCTTTCTGATGCTTCAGAAATCATTCTAATATGCTGATTAGCTGCTTTAGAAACATTGCTTATTATTATCAATGCTGAAAACAGTTATGCTGCATCATACTATGGTGGAAACAGTGATTTTTTGATGAATACTTTTTTTTTTTTAGTGATTTACTTTGATGAATAGAAACCGTATTTGTTTGAAATAGATATATTTTGAAACGTTATGTCTTTACTGTCATTTAATGCATCCTTGCTGAATACAACTATGAATTTCTTTCATGAAATGGTTGTGTTTGTTGCTTACATTCAGATACAAAGCATCAAGTTGTGTTGCACCACTTTTGACAACAGTAAAAATGCAAAACAATATGCCCAGCAGGCACACAACGTCATAAGACGTTGATATTTGGTTAAATATCGGTTGCGACGTCGGGTGACCAAAATTCGATGTAAATTCAACGACTAATGTCAATGTTAAATTGATGTCCAATACTGACGTCAGATGACGTTGATATTTTGTTGTTTTTAGGTTGTATAACCAAAATCCAATGTTAAGTCAACGTCAAATATTGACGTCATCCCGATTTTCATTTTCAACCAAAATGCAACGTCTGTCTGACGTCATGTCCAACGTCTACCTGACGTTACATAGACGTCCGATGCCTGCTGGATGTCTTTACACTCCATATTTAAATACACTTGAATGTAATTTTCTATATGTGCTTCATGGAAGAATGGACATGCAGAAAAAGGTTGAGGGTAAGCAAATCCCAAGAGAATTATAATATTTGGGTGTACTTCATTTCCCTAACCTTGTTTTCTGTCCTGCATGGCAAATGTTCCAAATGTTGGCATCCTGTTGAGCAACATGCTTTTAGAATGCCCATATTTGTTAAGACATTTTTTCCCAATCAGCATCTTCCAGATCAATGTTTTGTTGCTTTTTTTGGTCTCTAAAATAATTCTCTACTTTTCCGCCCTCTATTTTAGGAAGATGAAGAAAGCAGTCAAACTGTCACCAGAAACGACTCTCCTGTTCATCTTCGTCCAAACAGCAACCACACCAACAGTTCGGCACCACCGTCCACAGCAAGCAACCGCATGTACGAGGCTGCTCCTGGTAAGTACACACTGCCACTGATTCAATTGCTTTAGGTCGTGACTTAAAGTTGCTGTACTATTAATTCCTGCTTCATAGTCAGCTCCAGAATTCAACTGGATCATGTGGCGGATTCCACTGGTGGTCGCCAAATCACATTCTGTGTGAATCCATCTTAACTTGTTGACTTCATTCTAAATGCACACCAAGTAATTGCTTTTATATAATGTTAAGTGATTTCATCTAAATTCTCTCACTGTTAAAGAAACCAATGAAATTCATCAGCGCTCCAAAACAGAAAGAAAGCGAGCGTTCATCATCAACACCATGTGAAGAGTGCTTTGCTTCTCTGTAAGGGGACAAAATGAGTTCATTTTCTCTGCCGCCTCATTTTCCATGCCAGCGTAGCTTTCTATTAGCTTTATCGACTTCTACAATTTGGAAATCCGCCCATCTCATCAATACGGATGGAAAAGCCAATGACGATATTTTTGCTACATTCTCTTCCGCTTTTATGCAACGCGGCCTGACCTTGAAATCATTAAGCTGATGAAATGGATTCTAAGTGGGCCTTATTAGCATACTCGCAATTGTGCCGAGCGCTCGAGAACGGATAACAAACTGTTTTAAATTCACACTATTCTTTCCCGCCGCTCTCCAGAGAGTTGCCCGTGCCAACACAAAAGGCTTTTTCCGTGTTTTTGGGAAACCATTGTTTACTGATTAACGTCTCTTGTCCGTCAAAGCATGTGACTGTACTTTAGTCACACAAAGCGGGGGATGTGATATTTACACACGTCTCATTTTAACTTCAGATTGCTTTCCACACTCGCTGCCGTTAGATTTGGTCAAATCTGAAAAATTTAAAACACCAAACCTGGCGTACAAGTGTGTTAGTTTTAAAGAAGTGTCGTTTTAATCACATGTTTTTGCTAGCACCAGCATTCATATTTCATGGCACTGCATATATATGACGCAGTCATTCTGCACCCGCTTTACAATAGATGGCTAAATGGTGGAAGGAATGGGGACAGTAGTGCAGAAAATTGAGTCGTAATGGAGGTATTTCAGACTAGTTCTGCTAACATTGATCAGAACGCTGTGTGGTCATTGAGAAGGTCTCAATCTATTTCTCACATGTTAGATGATTCAAAACTCAGTGAACGTGGCCAAGTGTGTCTTATTCCTCATAATAGGAGGAATAACTTGCTTTCAAGTCATTTTTAAACCTGTATGACTTTCTGTTTCTCAGTGAAACGCCTATACAATAGAAGAGAACTTAGAAAGTTGAGCTTAAAAAATAAGAAAAACATGAGTCTTCTGAAGCCATACAATGGCTTTGTGTGATGAACATCAGCTTTAATATTAGTATATAACATTAAAACTCATATTTCCAAACAGCTCCTTACAGACCCCCTGGCGGACCACAGGAGCTGCCGGAGGAAGATTACGATGAAGACGATTTCCCCCCTCCACCTTCTGATCTGGACCTGCTGGAAACAAACCCTCCACACAAACACCAACAAAATCGGTTAGTTATAGTGCTCAAAGAGTAAAGCTGGAGATAACAGCTACAGTTCATTGGTTTTCTTTAAGAGCTCTTATTGTGAATGCAAATAATCTAGTACTTTGATCAGTGCTCGGTATTGCATCCTGAAGCCTTATTTCAAAGATTTGAAAACAATGATACCATGCAGAAGAATTATTTATGGCATTATCTAGTTGTACCATCAACTATTCAGTCAAACACCCAATTGTAACCACTTATAGACTTACATATTTATATACAAACACACACTCAAAGAAAGATTCGTTTACAGTATAGGTAGACATGAATGAAACGAATGTTGGTTGCAAATACTTTGTCATTCAGTACTAAAACATACCAATAAATAATTCAATGTATATAGTTAGTTACATATTAAATATTGACTATTTTATCCAATATTTCTGTTACACTACTATTCAAAAGATTTTTTTTAAGAAATTCTCAGAACTTTCTCAGAAAAGACATTTATAATGTTACAAAAGATTTCAATTTCGAATAAATGCTGCTCTTTTGAACTTTTTTTTTGTTCTTTTGAACTAAAGCAGCACAACTGTTTTCAACATTGATAATAATATGAAATGTTTCTTGAGCAAAAAAATCTGCATATTAGAATGTTAGAATAATGATGCTGAAAATTCAGCTTTGCATCAATAAAATATATTATAAAAGAAAACTTTTAAATTGTAATAATATATCACAATATGACTGTTTTTACTGTATTTTTGAGCATATAAATTCAGCTTTGGTGAATATAAAATATTTTATTCAGAAGCATTTTACTCACAAACATTTGAGAGGTAGTGTATGTGTTTTTATGCTTGTAGTATATAGCATATATGCTTGATTAGAGTGTTGCATTGTAAGATCAAACTGACTTTGTGTGATATGTGTCTTGTAGGGCTGAAATGGAGCCGGTTTCCTACAAACCCACCAACCAACAATACCCTCAACAACAGAAAGTCCCCACACACACATTTACCAGAAACTACCTACAAAATAATCTCCAGATAAAATAAACTACATCTTGTGGACTAGATGCATTTTGACCAGTTAAAAATGCATTTAGTTTACTATACTGGGACAGTACAGACTCTGTGCTGGCAGTGACTTAATTTAAATACAGAGCAATGCAATTTCAGTGTATTTAACGCTTGGTTAACTTGGACTGTGGGTGGTTAGTTAATAAGACGCAGGTTTTTGAGGTGAAATATTTTGCGCTAAAGCTAGACAAAGATTAAAGGTTATACTGAGACCTAGAAGACTTTTTAAAGATTTTGGTCTGTTTATCTGAACACAGTGGAAACCGATTGCCTTCAGTGCAAAATAAAGCCCTATAGCTACACATTTCCCAGTATTAGCCACGGATGACCCCGATAACTTGTCCTCTCTCTTTTCCACCACTTTCAGAAACAGGAGGGATATTTCAGTGCTCCACAATGGGAAGTTTTCGCCCGTTTCCAATTACATTTCATTAGGGTGGAGTATTGGCTTCAGCTCCACTGCCACTGTGCTAATCTCCTCACTGCTGAAAGCTGATTGGTTTTCATTACACACATCTCATAGTGTCGTGCTTTGCTGCCATCTTTTATCCCCCATCCAGACCTTTTCCCCTCTATTTATTTCTTTATCTCTCTCTCTCTCTCTCTCGCTTTTTCGTTTTGTTCTTTAAGTTACTCTTTCAATTTTTCTGTATAGGCCTTGTGGCCTGTGGTTCAGTTATTGTTTCTTTTTTGTCCTTTTTCATTTCTTTTTGTCCTCTTTTATTTCTTTTCGATAAATTTGTACATTAAGATAAATAAATATACATCTAAAAAAAATCTAAGTCATATTGTTACAAAGGCATTAGCATTTGTAATTCACTGTAAGTATTTCTATTTTTTGACTTTTATAAATTGTATAGATAGATAGATAGATAGATTAATTTATTAAAAGAAAAGGAGTAATATTCTTCATTTTAATATATTAATCAATAAAATAAATGTAACAAACTCTGATGCATATATGTGATTGCTTATATTTTGCTTAAACTAAATTATTTAAAATGTTCTGTTTCAAGACTTAACTTACAAAGCTGTATGATGTATGCAAGTTTTAGCAACGATTTCCATCAAAGTGATTGTTTTTGGAGGGTTTTTGGGTAATGCATTTCCACTCAGGGTCACAACTAATGTGACTGAAGGTGGGAGCAATTTCAGATATTTACTCTAGCATTAACCGCTGTTAGCGTAATACAGGTCATTTATATCCAAATACAAAAATAGCCAACGTATTTATTAATCTTAATTTACAAACATTCTACAGACCTTTAAAGTAATCTATCCATCACCCAAGGGTCCACTTTTCTTATCCTCAAGACACATAATTTCAGTCTGGCTAACGTTTTCCTCTGTGATATTGCGAAACGTTGAAAGACAAAGGTTTTTCTCAGTCAAGCGTGGTCCCTATGAGAGGTTTGGCTGGAGTTCTGGAGGCTAGCGTTTGGAGTTCAGAGTTTTGGCTCTGCTCGAGTCTCTCTGAAATAGCTTTATTCTGCCAGTCGCATCATTAGTAGCTGTATGCGTTTTTCTGGGCAGGCGTTCATGTGAAAATGCTCTTAATTTCTCATTTGCTAATTGCTTTCAGGCCATTTACCTTTACTTTTATGCAGAAGTGCAACACACCAGCCAAATGTGGTTTTATCAGAACATGTAGAACTATTTTTTTATTTTTCTCCTTAACATTTTAGTAAAAAAAAAAAAAAAGTTTACTGACTGGTTTCTAGGGTGTTCGGGTGGTTGCTAGGGTGTACTGCATGTTGCTAGGGCATTCTGAGTATTGCTGTGCTGTTTTGGCTGGTATCTAGGGCATTTTGCATGTTGCTAGGATTTTCAGGGTTGTTGCTAGGGTATTCTGGGTGGTTGCTAGGATGTTTTGGTTGTTGCTGTGTTGTTTTGGGTGGTGCCTAGGGCATTTTGCATGTTGCCAAGGTGTTCAGGGTGGTTGCTAATGTAATGCTATGGTATTTGGGGTGGTTGCTAGGGCGTTCTGTATGATTGCTGGGATGTTTTGGGTGTTGTTGTGATGTTTTAAGTGGTATCTAGGGCGTTTTGCATGTTGCCAGGGTTTTCAGGGTGATTGCTGAGGTATCGCTGTGTTTTTTTTTTTTTTTTGTCGTTAGGGTGTTTCAGTTACTGCATGTTGTTAGGATGTTTCGGTTGTTTCAAGGATTTTCAAGGTTGTTGGTAGGGCATTCTGTAAGGTTGCTAGGATGTTTTTGGTGTTTCTTTGTTGTTTTGTGTGTTGTCTAGGGCATTTTCTATGTTGCTGGGATGGTCAGGGTGCTTGTTAAGATGGTATTTTGGGAGGTTGCTAGTCCACTGTGCATGTTGCTAGGGTTTTAGGTTTTGCTGGGATGTTCAGGGTTGTTGCTAGCCTGCATTGCTATGGGATTCTGGGTGTCTTCAAGGGTATTCTGGATGTTGCTGTGGATTTTTGGGTGTTTCTAGGGCATTTTGCATGTTGCTAGGGTGTTTTTAGTATTGCTAGGATGTTCAGAGTTGTTTCTACTGTTGATAAGGGAAGGCTGCTAGGGTGTTCAGAGTGGTTGCTAGGGCATTGGGTGGTTCTGGGTGGTTTCTATGGTGTCCGGATGTTTCTGTAGTGTTTTGGATGGTTTTTAGGGTGGTGTTCAGGGTTGTTGCTAGGGTGTTGATAAGGGTTTCTGGCTGGTTGCTAGGGTGTTCTGGGTGATGAGTGATTGCTAGGGCATTTTGCATGTTACTAGGTGGATGTTAGGGTGTTTTATGTGTTGCTCACATGTTCAAGGCTGTTGCTGGGGCATGGCTAGGGTGTTGAGGATTGTTGCTAAAATGTTTTGGTTGGTGGCTAGTATGTTTGGAGTTGTTGCTAAGATGTTCATTGTTGCTATGGTGTTCTGGCTTGTTGATAGGGTGCTTGGGGTGGTTGTTTGGATGTTCAGGGTTGTTGCTCGGGTGTTCATCATGGTTTCTAGTCTGTTCTGGCTGGTTGCTAGGGTGTTTAAAGTTGTTGCTTGGGTGTTCAGGTTTGTTAATAGGGTGTTCAGCGTGGTTGCTAGGGTGTTCATCATTGCAAGGGTGTTCTGGCTTGTTGCTAGGTTGTTCAGGGTTGCTGCTAGGGTGTTCAAGTTTGTTGCTAAGGTGTTGTTCAGCATGGTTTCTAGTCTGTTCTGGCTGGTTTCCAGGGTGTTAATTTTTGCTAGGGTGTTCTGGCTGGTTGCTATGGTGTTTAAAGTGGTTGCTTGGATGTTCAGGTTTGTTACTAGGGTGTTCAGCGTGGTTGCTAGGGTGTTCTAGTCTGTTCTGGCTGGTTTCCAGGGTGTTAAAGTGTTAGTTCACCCAAAAATGCTGAATTTTTTCTAGGGTGTTCTGGCTGGTTGCTAGGTTGTTCAGGGTTGTTGCTAGGGTGTTCAAGTTTGTTGCTAGGGTTTTCAGCATGGTTTCTAATCTGTTCTGGATGGGTTCCAGGATGTTAATTTTTGCTAGGGTGTTTAAAGTGGTTGCTTGGGTGTTCATGTTTGTTACTAGGGTGTTTAGCGTGGTTTCTAATGTGTTCTGGCTGGTTTCTAATTTTCATTGCTGCTAGGTTGCTCTGGGTGGTTGCTAGGGTGCTCTTGCCGGTTGCCACTTTGTTCTTTGTGGTTTGCTTGAATGTGTTATCATGACTTTGAGCAAATAATAATAGTGCTGCCTGACTTAGCAAACACCGTGAACAGCATTAATATGAGTATTTGAGTATAATGTGATCGTGAAGGATGTTTTTGCAGTCCTTCATGTGTGTGTGTGTGTGTGTGTGTGTGATGTTTGCGTGTGTGTTTCTGCATGCATGAGTGTGACATTGTGCCTGTGTTTTGTTGAGTGTGGATAATCCAAATTTGTAGGCGCTGTCAAGCATTGTAAAATGCTTAAAGTGCCAAAATATTATTTTTTCCTCCCTTTTTTACTCTTCTGTACCTATTTTTTCCCCCAAAAAATAGGGAAAAAATTGTGTGTGTTCTCTGTGTTCTCTCACATACGTGTCCATATATGTACACACACGCGTGTGAACCCACACAAGCCTCTCTTCCAGTGTTATTTCTCTGCTGGGGAAATTGAGCTCATAAAAGATGAAAAGGCTTATTTAAGAGAAATTGCAGTGTAATGAAACCCCATTATTGTATCCCATGGTGCAATGCCTGTGGCAGCAGCTGCTCTTCACTGCTCAATCCTGTTTGTGCGGATTAGTCTCTCTCTCTCTCTCTCTCTCTCTCACACACAGAGACACACTTTCTTGTTTTCACCACTCAGGCCCACACACACTAATAATTCCTTGTTTTCCTCCACGGGTTGCTACTGTAAGTGTCTTAGATGTGTCATCGTGGTTTTCATAGATGTAGTCGCTCATATGCATTGCAAAAATCCATTGTTTTGTTTTCCAGAAGAAAATTCTGAGCAATCTTAAAACAAGACACATTTGATTTTTTTAAGCATTAAAAATGACCCAGTAAATAATAAATGTCAGTAAATAAATGTATTTCTTGTTCTTTTGAACTTTCTATTCATCAAAGAATCCCGAAAAAAGGTATCATACCTTACACAAAAACATTAATCAGCACAACTGTTTTCAACATTAATAATTATATGAAATCTTTCTTGAGCAGCATATCAGCTTATTAGAATGATTTCTGAAGGATCATGTGACACCACAGTATAAAAAAACCTGTCACAGGAATAAATTACATTTTAAATTAGATTCAAATAGAAAACACTTATTTTAAATGTTAAAATTAAATGCAAAAATTTTTAATTCTAATAATATTTTACAATATTACCATTTTTGCTGTATTTTTGTATATTATATATACAGTAAAATAGTGTGTGTGTGTGTATATGTATGTATGT